TTATATATATATCTATAGTTATAGTTTTATATATATATATATTTCAGAAGCTTCCCCCTTTATACAAGATGTTCTGATAGCGTAATGATTATGAATCGGGCTGCTAACCTCAAGGTCAGCAATTAGAAACTACCAGCTGTTCCCTGGGAGAAAGATGAGGCTTTCTGCTCCCATAATGATTTGCAACCTCAGAAACCCTGTACAGGGTTGCTATGAGTTGGAACCAACTTCACAGCACATAACCATGACCACCACTCATTTTATACCCTAGGGAGCTTCAAAACACTTGTGGAAAATAGAATTAAAAGATAATGGAATAGTTCTGCAAACTTTTTGAAGCCCCCTCCTATTTCTCTGTTTTCATGTTGTTATCTCCAAATCTGAGAATTTAAAGATAGTAAAACAAATACTGATTGTGCCCCTAGGCAGTTTATATTTTGGTTGATTATGTCACAGCTTTCTTATTTATATGGAAAAATAATGAGACCAGGAAAGCAACCTCCAATATGAGGACTGAAGAAATCTGATCCCACAAACTATAAGAAAATAAATGAGCAAAGTTTACATAGTTTACACCTCTCCCGGAGGGTTTCCATGTATATTAGTATAAAATCCCTGCTGAGGAAAACTGGTAGCATATGGTTTAATTCAGCCTTTGAAATCGCTGCCTACTTCCTCCAGCCCCTGTGGTTTAGAAACACTTCTGGCAGATTCTTTTATGATACTGACCAGATGTTAACATGTTCATGTAGTGCTTTAATCTGGAATTCTCTTTTGAGAATCCTGAGCAAAAAGCCTTTAAGATTCCTTCCAGTTTTTGTGTGTTTTTTACCAGTACTTCTTTATGTTGTTTTTTTTATTTGCTTCAAGTGGTGTCTTAACTGTCACTGTCCCACACTCTGGATGATTTCTGATACCATCACAAGGAGTCCTTGAATCAGCTAAAGTGAAAAATTGAGATTGAAGGCCCCCTCACCCTGCTTGTTTCCAAGGGAGTCTCCTTTTAGACCAAGTATCAAAAAAGGTTATTGCATTGAGTCTAGATGAATTCCACCCTCAGCTTCCCATGGTTGTGACCCCACTATGGGGAGGCAAGGAGAAACCAGAGACCACTGTTCCCAAATTCACCCCCTTCATCTTTTTTGGAAACCAAGGGAGGGGGGCTGGGGCGTGAAAACCCCACCATGATCACTATTCATCTTCCAGGTTTTTCACTTTCTCCATCCTTGGTTAATATCCTTTGTACATAAGGCAACGTGGAAGCTGATGTATTTTACTTATCTCGCTTTTTTAAAGCACCATTATGAAGTTGGGTTTTACAGTAGTTAACAGTACC